GCCAAGAAGAATTCAAATACCCAATACATGACTGTGGATCACTGCAGGAACTTTTGTACAAATTACCAGTTTTACGGTGTAGAGGTTGTTATAAATGTCTTGCAAAAAAATATAACGTACTGGCTTCCACGGGTTCTCATTTTAACGGGATATATGAAATCGGCATGTTTGTTTCTTTTTTTCAAGTTTTCTACAGTCCGGTCCACAGGGCTGCACTATGCGGAAACCTTGCTGAAACTTGGCGTTGAAGTTTCCTGTATGGTTTCCGCAATGCGGAAACTATATAATAGTTTCAGCAAGTTTCAGTAGGGTTTCCGTATACTGAAACCATTAGGTTTGTTTCCTAATAGTTTCCGCAAAACGGAAACCAATGTAAAATTTAATGAAACGTCAATTTAACGATACGTTTTAGTTTCAGTAGGTTTCAGTTTCCGGAAACTATTAATTTCGATTCCATATGGTTTCCGCATGCTGAAACCGTACTGAAACTTTTTCTATTTTTTTTTTCAAAAGGGTAGAAAAATCAACTCATATGCATATGATCTTTTTACTATTGATTTCGATTCCATATGGTTTCCGCATGCTGAAACCGAACTGAAACTTTTTCTCTATAATTTTTTTTCAAAAGGGTAGAAAAATCAACTCATATCATCCTTATATTTATTTACACATTTAAAAAAATGGTTTTATTTTTAAATATCTAATAGTTCATATTCAGATTTCGAGATGTGCCTGCTCTGTGTAAACTTACACATACCGGTATTGATATCAATGATAAGCATATTATACAAGATCCTTGCTTCATATTAAATGTATGAAAATTGTTTATTTCATATTGTGTCGGAATTCAAAAGTATTATTTTTAAACAAAATCGATTCCTCTCACAAGGATTTTCTACATTACCCAACTCAATACTCCCCCTCGGGAATTGATTATTTTGAAAACATACATCATTTTCACAAAACTACGATTACGTTTAATGTAAAGTTGTTTAAAAAGAAAATTAGTGTGTCTTCATGGTGCATGAAATACAGATAATTACGAGAGTGAACATAATCTGAGATAGAAAGGTTTGCATTTATATTCTTTATACATGTTTCTATATATATTTTCCATAATGAATATCATTTCAACAATTTCAATTTGTTAACAATACATATTGACTAGGAAGCCTTTTTTTACTATTCATATATATATATAGTTCAATAGTTACATGTACTAGTTATTTTTATAATAACATTGATTTAATATCTACATATATGTATTTTTATTTCCGTCTTCGTGAAAACATTTTATTCGTAAGCCGCGGTTTTACAGCATTAAAAATATTACAAGAAAACATGTCCTGAAAATTTGATGTCATGGTTCCCAGGATTTGCAGCATTTTATGTCAATCTACTTAAAATTAAATCTTCCATTTGTTCCCCAATGTTTATTTACACGAGGAACTCTTATATGTAAAAAGTCTGCTTTTGTGAAACAATACCCTGGGAGCGAATGGAAAATCTCAAAATTTTAATTAGATTGTATATTATGTGTAGGCTTCTTTTTTTTTTTTTTTTAATTTTGTTTTATTTCATATATCTTGCTTTCGTGATGTTAATTAATGCAATATCACTGAAAACGCGGTATAGTTTTTAGTAATATGTTCAATTATATTCGTATTGAGATGTATAATGTGCTAAATATGTGATTTAGAACTTACCCGGTAGTTGTTTTTTTTTTAAATAAATTTAAAGTAGTCTGTAAGTTGATCAAATTTTCAATTCTTTACGTTGAACCCCACTCGCGGGCACCTGTCCTCACGTGCCACAGGTGGGGAGACACGTGTCGCGAAGACACCTGCTACCGTGTTGGTGTATTTTTTGTATATTCTATGTGGATTGAGAGGTTTTTCTACCTTAGAGGAACAATGGACTGTGACCAGGCGTAATATATACACGCAGTACATGGTATACACAACTAGCCTTTTCTAATGACACCAAGGTTTCTGAACATTCAAAATTAAAAATAAATCACACTATATAAAACTTCACCTAAAATCAAACATGTCATATGTATAATGTGTTATGTAAAATATTTCATAGAATGTTTCATATTTAGCATAAGAAGTTTTTATTTTATGTGTTGGTGATTAAAAGAAAATAGACAAACCTCTTAAATATTTATCTATCAATTTAATATAATAAAATTAATCTATTGGTAAGGAGAATATTTGCTATAGCTAGTTCAATAGACTATTTCAAAAATTTCAATATTATTTTACAATTTCTCCACAAAAAAAAAATCGGCAATCACAAAAAGAAATCGACAATTAATGGTATTCCTTGTTTGCCACCATTGTAAACTTCAAATATTGAAAATATTTAGAGGTCAATAAAACGCAACCTAATGAAAACTAAGTCTATTTTATTTCATAACTTTTTTCTATAGGTTATTTCTAAGTACATTATATTAAAACAACGTTTTATTTCTAATTTAGAGTCCAAAACAGAAAAGTGTGAGATTATTACAATAATAAGGAAAAGATAAGTCAATCAATAGCAAAACAATTATTAAAAGCAATTAATAATCCTGTATTATAAAGGAATAAAGAAGAATTTACATATGACATGTGTAAAGGACTATGACCACTTCTATTACATGATATCATTTATATAAATTTGCCTGCAAAATTAAGAGTTTCCGTATCTTCTGTATTGAGTGACCAATATTTTTTTGGTTCATCATCTAAAACTGAGAAGTATGGAGATTTACTATTAATAAACTGAAATATTTTTTTTTTTTTTTTTTTGGGGGGGGGGGGGGGGACATGTTTGACGATCATATTTTTTTTTTACATGACAATGTTATAAAAACAAAATGAATTTTACATCTACATAATCGATCTTCAGGAGAAATATTGGTAAATCTCCCCACTTCAATTTGTAAGCTGTGACAGGAAATTCCTAGATAACAAATAGACTTGTACATTCATGTTGATATTTTCTGAGTAGAAAATTTTCAACAATTGATGAATAATTCTTATAACCCCAATTTTGCTTTTGAGTTGCACATATGTGGTTAATATGCCATCAGCATAACTTTGTTGACTTGTATACCATTTTCTTTTTTCTTTTCTTTTTTTTTTTTTTTTTTACACAATAATCGAAGTACATGTGTTCATGTGACTTTAAATCATTCTATTTGAAAACATTAGGACAGTCGGAGTCCGTTTCAACAATTACCATAATCATGTAATAAAGGTCTAAAATTCGCTTTTTATCCCCTTCGATTCCATGATCAATTTTATTTTATCATTCAAAACTGTTCATTCTGTTGCCATATATATACAAGGACATTTGCATTTAAAACGTAAAAAAAAAAATTGCCAAAAGAGAAATGCAAAAACTAAACTGAATGATTTTTCGTAAAGAATTTGAATCACTAGGTGGCGTATCGCGGCAGAATGCTTCTCTCTCATTGGTTAGATTTTCAGAGAAGAAAGAAGGACAAAATGGCGAAGAAAACACCAAGAATTTGCTCAAGAAAAACAACAGAGATGAGAAGATCTTTTGAATCTACACTGAAGAAAGGCACCCCAAACGGCAGATTAGATACAGGTAGTTATTTGTTACAGTTCAGAGCACCTTTATTTTTGTTTTTATCGTCTGAAATCGTAAGAATAATGTTGACCTAAAATGGCGCGTTCCAAAAATTCAAAATGACCATTGTACAGTTGTAATTATTGTGAAAAAGCGCCTTGTAAATCATTCTCAGCTTAGGTTGTTATACATATAATTAACTGCTGTTTAAACGCATGCATGTATTTTGCACCATTGTATTTATCTTTCATGTTTTTCGTATGAATATTAGAATATGCTATTGTATTTTCTGCATCGTCCCGATCATGTAAAATTTACATAATTTAAAAATTACAACGTGTTGTAGTATTCCGGAATTTTAAATGTAGGTTGGTTTTAGAGGATAATATCGTTATGTACTTGTATCCGGTGTTAACTTTTTCATTTGGAAAATCGAAAGATTTGACCCCACGCTTATGTTTTTTCAGAAAAGGTGAGCTTTATTGTTCATTATAGCTGCTGGATGTGTTCAATGTTATTCTCAGAAGTAGTTTCTTGAATCGTACATTTATTTTTTGCTGAATTGTTTTTATTATTGATGGAAGACTGTGCTGCACAGCTGAGGAAGGGGTTCAATATATTTTTAACATACATGCAATCTAGAATCGTAAATATTAGACATGTAAGAGGGCATTATGATGGGAGAATGCCATCGTGTAGTACTGTATCACTGTGAAATGCCAATTTGTACATGTTGTAGTCATGAAAGTAAAAACTTGCAGATTTTTGGGCTGTGAAAGTGACTTGATAATTTTCATAATGCAGCACATTATTCAAGTTGAAGTATTTTATTTTCATACCATACATAAGGATTTTAAAGCAAATGTCGAAAGTGAATAAACTATTTATATACAAAGATACATAAGCATCTTTTCGTACAAGGCATAATTATGATGAATTAAACTTAAAATGATATTTATTTTAAATTAAATTTTAATTTCATGTTGACACATATGCATGTTTTAATCTATATGAAATAAATAAGACTATTTAAGCAACCTTGAAGTATGGTTTATTTTCATACTTATGTTATTTTTGTAACATACACAGTTGTTGAAATGCGTTGGTCCAAGGATTTGCTCACATACATTTAAAGCAAATGTCGCAGTGATTGTAGTTGAATAAAATGGCCCAACGTCCGTTAGTATTGGCTATATACAAAGAATTATTATTTTACATAGTTATTTTTTCAATGTAGCATATCTATATAAATAATGATTTCCATTTTAAATTAAGCCATCTTGCAAAAATTAAATTAATTTTGACAATGAGGCAAAAGAAAAAAGTGATAAACTGTACAATTTATTTGTTAGTTTCTAAAAATATTTGCTTCAATATTATTAATTAATTTAAGAGTTTAATTTAATACACCACGTTTCTGCCTTAAAATGTTTTGTCGAATTATATCCTTGTACAAGCAACAGTCAAATCTAAAACTTGTTTAATATAATTAATTTTTCATTTCAGAAAATGAACTTATGTTATTTTTGTACACAACACAACTTGGCAATATTTGAATTTCATTTTTATTATTGTTTAAAGACACAAATTATAATCCAAGAGCATGAAACGTCCTTATTTATTTTATTGCAATTGTTTTTCACATATTCACTTTTTTCCCATTTTATTGTCATCAATGAACCAGTATTTAACAACTGCTGAATTTCTATATCTGCTGCAAATTAATGCACACTGACACAGCACATTTCCCCATCTAAGAACAATATATAGCTGTTAAAAAAGTGAATATATTAATATATTTGAAAATTGATGAAATATTTATTTTTTTTTATTAACCATGAAAATACAAATTAAAGATTTCTTATTAATATACTGAAATTTTCTTATCTATTTCAATTAACAGCTATTTATGTTTACATGTATATATAAATAATACTTTACTTACATTTCTTTTAGGATTAGAAACGTTATTGTGTGCATGAAAATCCCGTTAACCTTATGTTATTTTTGTACTGCTTTTGAGCTTCAAATATTAAATGTGGTGCTGCACCATTTTCTAATTTCTTAAATTGCATGCATTGATTTTATATATCATATATTTAACATAATGATTCTCGTTAATTTGTTATTGTTTACCTGTATATAAATTCTGCATTATGATTTTTTGACTGGAGCTTGATGAATTATGATAATAAACCATTATTTTATTTCTTAAGAAATTAATGATCTTTTTATGCATTGATATTATATAGTCATATATTAGTATTTGTTTGTTGCTCGTAGAAATTATGATATCCGTTTAGAGAAAGTTTTACCAACACAGTCTCTGCTCTCATCCGAGGGAGCGGTCTATATGTACTACATTGGATTCAGACCCGTGATGTAAGAATCAGCACCTACTTCCCGACTTGAGGCGTGTTGCTCTAACCACTGGGCCACACTGTGTGACCCATTATGAAAATTTGACATAATACTTTTACGTCTATATGACTTCTAAATTTTATTGACTTGATAAAATGACTGATACACAAATAAGATTTTTGTAATCTCTCTGTTTATAGCTGTTTACCATTTGCCATATTTCTATCACTAATTAAATCAATTTTCAACAATGGCCACTAAAGAGTCATAGTTCTGTCTTATTATATAAATAGTTATCTGCCCTTGATGCAAAATGGAATAAATAAAATAAAGTATTAAATGGATTATAATTTTGAATCAAAGAAGGCCTACATATCTTAAACAAACATAATTTAGATGTAGTCTTGCTTTTATGAAAAATTGTAACTTATTTAATTTTTCTCACTCTCAGATATAATTGCTTTTCAAGAACTTTTAAATTGTGGTTGTGATAGGACTGCCACTTAGAATTAGACCAGAGTGTGTCCATTTTAAAATGATACAATTTTCCATCATTTTTTTTCTTTGTCATGTGTCTATTAGAATTTTAACTGAATGTCAGGTGCAAGGAAATGGACATGCAAGTGGTTTTTGGGACTTTTCTTAGCTCATGCTAAAAACAAAAACAGTTATTAATGTACGGTACTGTACTAACTTGATCTATTTTAATTTCAGATATCCACTGAACAAATCATCTGAAAACTAAGGCTAATAGGAGAGGATGAAGAATACTTCTGTTAAAAGGTATGTTTTAACAGTGAGTAAGAACTTAATATAATTTATGTAGCTCTATTTTAGGAAATTAAGGACTAAAGCATAAAGTTTATGTTTTTATTTTCTATTGTTTTGTTAATCTCACTGTGTAATGTTAAGCTCTCTATTTAGTATTTATCATCATGATCATAGTCGGTGTGTTGTGGGGTTGGGGGGGGGGGGGGGGGGGGGGTTTACATGTAAGCTGCTTTCCTCTACTTTTTAAGTTTTATATAATATATTTATATGTTTCCATGAAATAAACAGATGTTAACATTTTCTTAGAAAGTCTCATTTTGCGAGCTACCTACTAAAATTGTATGATTTATTTAAGATAAGTATTATCAACATTTTCAGCTTCTCTGCAACCGCTCAACCAATTTCAACCAATTTTGGTGAAGGGGAACAAAATTTATAAATTTTATCCCCCCTCCCCCCGCGGGCCTGAGGGGTGGGGCCAAAACTACTAAAATTCATGCAATCTTTGAAAATCCCCTTCTTCTTTTCCCCTCCTGAACATCAAGCAGTCAAACTGTTGGTATGATTGTAATCGGCATTGAGTCCTCTACCATAATTATGAAATTCATGACCCCAGGGTCAGGGATTCTAGTATTAGGGTGGGTCTTATAGCTCTTTGGAATTAATCAAACCATTTAAGATGAAATAAAACCTATGAAAACATTTAGTAAATTTTGAAATGTGTGGCCCCAGGGTTAGTGGTTCCTGTGGGGTGGGGTACACAACTGGTGGTTATAAAATGGAATTGCATTGTATCTTTATTACTCTGATCTACCTTTGGGTATTAAGTAACCAAAGTAAGCATGTTAACTAAGTGTATAATTATGATAAACAAAGGTGCGTCTTTCAAAATTTTGAATTTCATGGCTTTTTGTTTAAATTACGAACAAAATTCAATTGAGTGGAAGTTGTTAGGCCTAGGAAAAAAAATATATTTGTTTCCCCTTTCAGGCTGAAAAAATATAGGTAGATAGGTAGGTAATTATTTTTTTTTTTGCTTCTTGAATCAAAAAGTGTATAGAAGTAACATTAATGACAAAAGAAATGGTGTTTTCAAGCATTTCTGTGACTTAAAAGAAAGGTAACTCAAACTTCTTTCTGTCTTGAACATGTTGAAAAGCTTGCAAAGTTGGAGACTATAATTCCCTGGGTGAAATCTTGCACTTCATGGGACAAAAGCATTAAAAAAAAATTTAGGGTCGGCACTATATATTAGGGTCGGTCGGGAACAAACATATTTTTTTTCCTAGGCTTTACATGATACTCAGGTGACCTATAAGGTCTGTGGGCCTCTAGTTGTTATTCAAATATCATGAATCATGGTCTAAGGGTCTAGGTTAGGGGTACAAAAAATATTTTGATGAACAAGTAAAATGAAGAAAAAAATCCTTAATTTACTCTGAAAATCTTATCAGAAACAAATCCATACATACATATTCAGTACATTTAAATACATTCAAGTTTGTTTATTTCATTATCCCTTGTCAAGTGTTTAAAAGAGGCAACTTTAATAAACTAATGAGATTTTACACTTGATAAATTTTTAGATTTTATTTTAAATCATTCTGATCAAAAATGCTGAAAATCTGAAATTAATCAAACAAAGGCTTGTGCTAGAACAGTTTTAGGAACTTTCAGTTTGTCAATCTTATTAAAATTAAATGTTAGATCTGCGCACATATTGGCTAAAATCTAATGGCATCCTGTAGAGTGTCACGTCAGACGTTAAATTCTATTAACCAATCAAATACTCGAATGCAAAAATTATTGTATTTAATTTATTGGAATGAATAAGTCTAGAGTCTGAGTTGTTCCGTATTTGACATTTGACGTGACCTTCTATGGATGCTGTTAGATGTTGTGTAGCGAGTATGCAAGAGGATCTAACATGTTGTTTTATTTAGATTGGGATTTTGTTAAACTATATTTTATATATTTTCAATAGGTTGAAGTAACTGACGAGCAGGTCAATCCAACTTGAACTTGAAGTGCAAGTGGGTCTTCAAAAATGTGGACCACTCAAGGACTTTTCTGTTGGTTGATGATGGACTACAAACTGAATATTTAACAAAGAAATCCACTTTGGTGCTTATTGGCTACTAATGATGTGAACTTGTGCATTTATTATACCAAGTACTTTTACATTTCCTTGATGATACTAGACTTGCATATACCGAATTCAGGTTTAGTTGATTGATTGCAGTTCTAAGTTCCTCTCGCAAGATTATATCTCTCATGTATGAGACATCATTAAATGCAGACATTTTCTCTGTCCTCCTGTTGTGACATGAGAGCTCGGACTTAGTTGTAAAAATATTTATGATGCAAGAGAAAATAAATGGCCAAGCCAATGTATGTAAATGTTGATAATAACATTAAATATTCTTTGATAACTAGTGTGAGTGTGTTTTGTTTTTTCCAATATGAAAATTAAGGGGGAACATGAGTTTTGGTTGAAAAGCTGGGCTAAATTTGTAGTCATAACTACAGTTTTCGTTTCGGAAACCTATAGTACACCATATGTATTTCAATATTGTAAACGCATACTGAAACCTTGCGTAAACCTCAAGTTTCAGCAAGTTTCAGTTGCGGAAACCTATGGTACACCATATGTATTCCAACCGTATACGCATACTGAAACCTTGCGTAAACCTCAAGTTTCAGCAAGTTTCAGTTGCGGAAACCTATGGTACACCATATGTATTTCAACCATATACGCATACTGAAACCTTGCGTATACCTCAAGTTTCAGCAGGTTTCAGTTGCGGAAACTATTTGGATTCGTGGACACCTTTGGTTTCTGCACTGCGGAAACTTGATGAAACTTCAAGTTTCCGCACTGAAACTTTGCGGAAACTATTAGTAACCTTAAGTTTCCGCAGATTTTAAGTAGAGTTTCAGCCATGCGGAAACTGTATTTTTCATCCACCAAGAAATCCATTTGATACTCAAGATCATTTATTCAAAAACCAGTAAATGACATACTTAAATTATAGTTAGTTTTCGTTTGAAAATGTGATCTTTTCAGAATACCTATAGAATTGTGGTTGAGATCAGTTAAATTAATCGGGATTGACAATATAACCGATTGTCGAAAAAAATATTGCAGTACCCATTTTCTGGTTTCTTCTTTACCTACATAGGATATCTGGGATGTTTTCAAGACCAAAACAATCGTATCTTGGCCGAGAAGCATACACATACCCAATCCATGACTGTGGAATACTGCAGGAACTATTGTGCGAAATACCAGTTTTACGGTGTAGAGGTAGTTTTAAATGTCTTACATAATGTATATAACGTGCTGGTTTCCAAAGATACTTTAATATATGAAATCGACATACATGCATAATTTTTTTTTAGTATTCCTCTTGGTGTTTCTGTGGAAACTCTCTTACCACGAATGTCAGGAAACCAGAAGGAGAATGCAACATGAAATGCAGCGGAAATAACAGGCAAATTTGTGGAGAATTAACATTTATAGAATGCCAGCTTAAATATAAAATGGTAATTTATGCACTTTTTTAAAGCTTGTTGAATTTAGCATTGTTATATTTCGTACCTTACTTTGATTCATTCACTAAAGTGAGGAACAATAAAAAAGAAATAAATGGATGGACGTTTGATTTTTTTAAATAAAATTCTTTTTTGCCATTAATTCATTACAGCTATGTGGCTGAATTAAAGCCTTTATTGTACAGAACATTAGCAAATACTTAACCTGCATGCAACACTATGAATTTTCCAGGAAAATAAAGCAGTGCTTATATTTACATTTCAAATCTATTGATTTTTGTAAAATTTGAACTGTAAACATTCTTCTCCTTTAACTTGCAGTTATTCCAAGGAAGTTAGATTCACTGCTAATAATGTGCAAATAAATCTTCGTTTCGGACACTGGCTACTATTGACACCTGTGAACTCTCTGGTTAAATGAATATATATTTTGAAATAACCCAATAAAAATCAATTTCCAGAAAGCAGACTTATTCAATAATTAAGCGAATGGATTGCTGTTATACCCAAAAAGTGTTCAATATCGAAACGTATGTAAATTGATGTTTACATCGTGCTTTTCATATACCCGCATTCAAACGATATATAAAGGACTACAGGTCTAATTTGACATCCCTACTAATGTTATTGTGATTTAAATTCAAGACATGTGGTTTAAGTTGATCTATTCAAAGGTTATAGGGTAGAACCTGTTTTATAAATAAAATTGGCAGTAAACAGGATATTGCTATAGCCTGTTTCTTTTGAAAACATGTCCTGTAATAAATGTTCCCAGACCTTTTTGAAAGACTTTCATGATTTTCAACAGAAAGGGGTTGGCTAAAGGAGGGGGTGTTAAAATAACAATATATCTTATACTTTTTGGCGAAAATAAGAGCTCACTAGTGACCGATTCGCTGGTAAAAAATGTGTTTTATCAACCTTTATTTGTCTTATATGGCTATTGTTATAAATGCGCACAGAGGATCTTACAACGAGCAACTGACCAATGGTTGGAATGAATAGCAACGTTTACGTCAAATACACGTTTACATTTTACTCCGAACACGTGGTTCAGGTCAATCTATGATCATGTCAATGGAATACAAAATAATACAAAAAATGTTCTTAAAAACAAAAAACAAAGATAAGAAACTATTGAAGATGTTACGGGCGTTTTTAATGTATTGTTTAATGGAAAAAATGTTTAATAAAATGTAGTTCGTGACTAGTTCAGAACACCAGCGCTTCAAGGGTAAGGAAAACGAGCAGCATCTCTTACGCATTTAAATGGACAAAACTTTTTTCACGTTCGTGATCACGTGTTTGGCCAGGGAATCCTCCTGGCAATTGTATTTACCGATAGCAATCGCATCATCTCGGATCTTTCCGTCAGAGGTCGGAAAAACAACCTCGAATGTATTAACATCGCCGGATGTTAAAAATTTATACATTTCCTGTTTATTCAAATATAGGATAGAAGGAGTTAGAAGTCCCTTCTATAGTATATTTTAGGTAATATCATTACATTGAATAAAGTTAAACTCCATATTCCAAAGATAAAAGGTCTCCATGCATTTATTTCAAGGGTCGTGAAAAGGGAGGGTTTTCATGACGTCTACCATATACATTCGAGGTCATTTTTCCGCTAGTCGGAAAGGCCCGAGAATTTGCAATTGCACCGATAGTACAACAAAGGAATGAATACAGACGCAAATCGTTTTTGCAGTATGACTTTCAGAAACCTAGACTTCCACCGTTTATTGAACAAATGAATTGTTTGTCATTATGAGCATGAACATAACATTTTTTAAGAATGCTTTTTTTATTTACAATAAGATTTTCCTTTTTTTAAAGCGTAAAATTCCTGTGGTTTTCGTAGTAATCCATAATGCAATACTCATTCAGCTGATTGGTCAGTTAAAATCATGTTGGTGCCTCATTTGCTAATCTGACGCCAAAAAAATATTGTCCCGGTTCCCATTCAAAAATATTTTTCCAAAAAGAAATTTCAATTCATGACTGCAGAAAATTGTATTGTAGCGAATACTCATTTAAAGCAATATGAGCTGCATGTTTGACATCGGAAAAAAATGTTGCAATTTTGTAATTAATTATTTCAATGACAGAAAAATAGAACATTTATAAACTTCTGTTGTTCATATTTGCTATGAAAGAACTTTTTATACGCTTTGATTGAAGCAAAATTGAATTATTGTCGTCCTGTACAATAATGATTTCTTATATAATACTGTATATTCAGCTATACAGAAACATTTCTTCTGAAACATTTTTAAACTTTATTTTGGTTTTATTGATCATAAATGTTTAGATTACATACAGATAAATCATAATAACACATTTTACCAGCAAAATAAAATTCTCAAAAATGCAGCTCATATTGCTTTAAGTTTGAATGAATGTAAGAGAGATCGATTGATTTAAGTACATTTCTACGGACATTATCAGCTGATTCTAGTGTGATATTATGAAATCTGTTTCTATATGTATTTATTCGTTTTTATTTATTTTTTCATATCGTTTTGAGAAATATAATCTTAGAATTTGATTAACTAAAAGTTCTATTGCGCACCTGGATTGAGTTGCCTGAGTAAAGTTTTATTCTATAATTTCATTGGCTCTTTCATTTGATTGGTTATTTACTATTTTTTCATCCAATAATACATTTTCATTATAAGTATAAATTTACCGCGCTTTACCTTGTATGTCAGAGCAGTAATACGTTTTCCAGAAAGAAGTATATTTTAAATCCAGTGTCCATCATACGCATCTTATGGTATGTAACCTTTATATTTGATTATGTGTTTCATTGCCATATAAAGATTTGATTTACGTTATTATTTTGATTGCAAACGTTTTACTTTATTGTATTTTTGCATTCAAAGTTGTAACTGAATAGTAATGAGTCTGTAAGATTTCAATTTGAATTGTTTACAGTACACATTTTTTCATGGAGTTTATTTTTTCTGAAACGTATACTGTAGGTAAATTATCTCATGTGTTATTTTCTCAAATTTTGTAATTTTGACTTATTATGTACTTTGTTTATTTTAGATCAATGCCTTTATTTCCTGAATAAATTATGAAAACATAACATCTGCCTTACTGCTCGGTTACACTATGGTGGTAAAAACTGAAACGCAACATAACTTTTCTGTTTACCATGTCTCCACGTGCTAGTCACTTCCTAGCCACATTTCCGTGAATAATTTACCCTATCTCGCTGAAGTCTCGCTAACTCTCGCAAGAGCCATTGCCATAGCTACTCTGAACTCATCGGGTCTTATAATTTGCAGAACACTGAAAAATAAAAGGTTCCGAACACATTAGTAGGGGTGTTTGAGAACTAAGTGGATAAATTCAACTTGAATCAAACGTTATTCTATTCCATGGACACAATAGAAATGTGCTTTAAATGAAATATTTCCATGGAATTTGCCAATAAATAGGTGCTTCAACTGGTTTCTGTTAAATTTTGACACAGGCCACTGGTTTATGTCTCTGAGACTGCTGATTTATGTAGCTAAACGTGAATAATATAATATTATTCAAACATGCATGAAAAGAATAATAGTGGGTTTTTTTAATAGTTTATACTTATTTCTGATCATTTCTTGAGGATATTATATTTTGGTTAAATTATTTTGTTGCATGTAAATAGAATTATATCCTTGCAATATTATACAATTATTGCAATTGATAGTGAGCGAGACACATCGATTTCTTCGCCCGTGAAAAATCATATTCCCCTACGGCAACTCCCTCACTATCAGGATTTTTTTTTATTATTATACCTAAACACAACGCAGGAAATATGAAGAAAATCCAATGAATAAAGTAAACATAGGATGAGAACAATATGAAACAGTTGTAAGTTAGACCACTAGCAGTGCTTCATATAAAAAAATCTTCGTGACAAATCATTCTGACTTAACCTTTGTAACACTCATTCCCACTAATGAAAACACTTTCTCAATATTCATATTTTACAATTTTATATCGACATAATTAATCGAAGATATAATAAATCGAACTCAGCATTAATCATCACAGTCGCCACATTGTGACGTCACAATCGTGGAACACGACATGAAACAAAATCGGCACACCTTGGCCAATATTACATTTACATCATCCATGAAGGGTACTGCAGTCAGCTGAGGTGAGCCGAATGCGTGAAACACGAAGTTTTGATGCAGGGCAAATATGAAAGTCAAGTGACTGTCTCGGCCAATCAGATTCTACTTTGTAATTAGTGTTTATTTATATGAGGTATAATAATAGTAAATGTTTAAGAAACTAGAAAAGAAACTCGTTGCGAGCAACGAAAGGTCTTCCGTTCGATTCTGAAAAAAAAAAAAACACACCGCAAAATCGAGCTGAAAAAAATTGATAAAACTTTTATTGAAAACAAAGGGGATTGAACCCGAGTCGCTAGCGTGAAAATTCAAATAGCTTACTATTACGCTATCGGGACCACAGATCTAAATGTACTTGTATATACTTCTGCAACAGTACATCTGTTCTACAATAATGAAAGATGGGACACTATTCATAATTTTGCGTCAAACGCCACGAGTAAATCTTAGAGCCTTATACTTGGAATGTTCCATTAAATAGGTGTGATAGCTTCAATGGAAATTAAAAAAAGAACGTTCATATAGCTACAATTTCAAGGTCAAGAGAGAATATTTAACACATTCCATGTAGATACATGTACATGTAAGTACCACTAAAACAGCAAGACTGCTATATTTTTTAACTTTTTCAAAATTTCCTGTTTATCCCCATAGTGAACGATCCTGATTACTTAAACTTTCATGAAAAGGTTGAAATGTTTCGCCGAAAAACGTGTTTTGCCCTACGCAAGTCAAGGAATCAGATAACATTTATGTTCAAAAGCTTAATCAGATCTTTGAGACAAGAATGTTGATTTAAACTCTATTCAACGATCTTTTCAAAAAAAAAAAATGTTTTCTTACATTTGTCTTTTCTATCTGTTTAATATGACACAAGTGTGCATGGGAAAAACAGTGGTTTCGCGTTTGATACTTACTATATAAATCAATATTGTTTCTTAAAAACTATTACTTATAACTATGATTTAAAATATGATTATTCGCAAAAAGCAAAATATATTAGGTATCGTATTTCATTATCACATTTAGTCGTTTCTTTTTCTTCTCTGAGAACCAGCCAAAGCTAATTACAGAAGACGTTTGAGACGAATATGGATTAAAACTTAGTTTGCAGAATTGCAACGTTACTACGACGTGACAATCCAAGTATTCCTTTACATTTCATTTATTCTTAGGTTACTTCCGTTTAAACAAACGCTCGGCTGCCTCCGTAAACCCTGACTTGCGCAATGTCGGAGTTGACAGAGACAGCCGCCATTTTGGACCCGCTTCAGATTTTAAAATTTTAATATCTAG